ATTTTTATTAAAATAGAAAAGAAGAACAACAGTAGTGGATCTGCATACGCGCATCCTGGTGTGGGCGTAATATTTTTTCACCCCATAGTGTCTCGCGGAAATTTGGTCTTTTTTGCTGTGTGTCCGAAGTTTGTGCGTTATCACCGTCATTCGCGAAAACAATTTGGAATCCTTTTTCCCAGGGCGCCGCGCGCCGTTGTGGTGGCGCGCCCGCTTACCCACGGCGACGACCTTGGCCGTGAATCACTTTGTGGGCATCAGCTGGTACTGGAAGACCGCGCGCGCCTCTGTGTGTGTGTGTGTGTGTGTGTGTGTGTGTGTGTGTGTGTGTGTGTGTGTGTGTGTGTGTGAGTGTGTGTTGGTGAGATGACGTTATGACCCCTACTCTCAGCACTTTAATGGACGGTATACTCCTCTTCCCGCGTGCACTCCGCGCGCGCTGCGCCCACATCGATCAGGCACCCGTTTTGAGCTCATGGCTCATCGACGACCACACCTCTCTCTCTCGCGCTTGCTTCAACTGCAACGAGGGTTATAACAAACGGATGCTAGAATCTATTCTCTAAATTGAAACGAGAGTAAATTATATTTGCGATGTGTGTTGTGGGGTTGCAGACAACCCAGGGCGGTCACCCAGGTTTGTGCTGTTGAATATTTAAAAATATTCTTTATTACTACACATTTTCCTGGTGGTAATACTAAACGTCTTCGTACTACTATAATTATAATACTAGGAAAACATTTGGTAATACTAGGAACCAGTTTAGTAATCATCGGACAAAGTTTAGTTAATTACACTCTGAAGAATTTCTTGATAAGAAAAACAGCACAAAACCTGAGTAGTTTGGTTGGCAAATTTTCTAGTTAAGTTAGTTGAGAGGGCACGGTTCGCCTGTGTGCGTTCACGGCGCCCCTCTCCTGCCGGATGCGGCCCGGGCCACGTACTCGCTACTTAGACGCATGGGAGCGCCCATGGTCGGCCCGTGGCACCTGCGGGACCTGCGGGACACATCAAGCCGCCGCCTGTGCCTAACGACAACTTTTTTCAACTCTATCTTTAACAAGCAGCTACCAATCTTGCCAGACTAATCAAGAATCCCGTCAACTCTGTCAGAGATGACATTGCGGGAATGGACTAGGATCAAATCTCCAAACCTTGAGAAACTCTGGTATTATGCCCTGAATAATTCACCCACATTAGCAGCCTTTACCTTTTACATAATAATAAAAAAAAATGGCAAGTCGCTCGCCCTCGTCCTATGGAGAAAGGTGAAAGACGTTATTGAGTCAGAGGCAAGATTTTTGTGCCAGATTCTCCGGCTTTGCGAATTTTATGTATACCGATGGAACGGGAACGGCACGTGCGAGAGATAAAGACCTGTCAGACCCGCCCGCCAAGGCGGCAGGGCGCTAGGCTAGAGGAGAGAGAGAGAGAGAGAGAGAGAGAGAGAGAGAGAGAGAGAGAGAG